TTGGTCTCAACGATACAGGAATTGTATTGCGTTTACGTAAAACATTTAAATTTTATCTAACATTTACCACGTTTTACGCTAAATGTATACCAATTCAGGGATTTCTAGTTGTATTTCTCAGTTTTTCAACCAAATTATCCGCATATGAGCTTATAGTTTATGGCATTCCCCACACAATTATATGGGCAATGATATGCAAGTATTACTATCAGCTCATGGTTTGGCAATTTGTATATTTTAATTTAATTACATATTACTTAATTATAAAATTAAAAGCAATTAACAATCACATATATGACGTTCTTATTAAGCATAATAAAACTAATCCTAGAGTTTTATTTACAATATCACATATTTTAAATAATTTAAATGATATTTATATAGAAATTAGTGAATATAATGACAACTATTGGTCTAAATATTTATTTATCAATTGGTTTACATTGAGTGCCATAATATCGACGACAACTTATTTGGCGTTTTTGAGTAAAAGTACCATAATTTTTAGGATCGGATATTTCATGTTCTTTATTAGCTTCTCTTTACTATTGATACTTATTATACGTATTTCTTCATTGATTTATATCGAGGCAAACAAATCATACCATTTGTTAAATTCAATTGTTTGTCACAAAACTCATGTCACTTTGTTTGCCGCTAACCTTAATGTGATTTCATTCAAATCAAAGGTATTATTTTGTTATAAATAACAAATTTTATTTTTTAATTATTAGATTAAATTAAATTAATTGAAATTAATTTTTTATAGATTTTGAGTTTAATCGAAAGATTGTCCAAAAGACAAATCGGTTTTTATTGTTGGAAATTATTTATTATAAACACGTTTAGAGGATATGAAGTAAGATATTATTATATATTATTTTATTATTAATTTTATACTTATTTATATTTTCCTTTACAGATAATAGCACTCGTAATCATACTTTACTTGAAATTATTGGAAATGTTTAATAAAAATTAATTGTAATATTTTTTTATGTTATTAAAAGTTGCGAGAAGAAATATTAGAATTATTAAACAATAATTATTTTAGTATTTAAAGTACAATATAATTTAATTGTTATTTATATAAATTTATAAAATTTTAAACTTTAAAAGTAATTAAAAAATTATTCATTAAAAGACGTTTAAATAAAACATAACAGAATTTCATACTCAATATAAATTGTGTAAATAATTAATAAACAAGTTTAGATATGGTGTACATAAGTGTTATTATTACAGAATATACCTTGATAAGAAAAGTACAAAAGGGACCGTTTTGGTATATTACCACTGATTGTCTTTACATAGATTAATTATTAGTTTAAGTGCTTATATTTGATTATAATGGCTGGATATCGTGTTTAATACATGGGAATATGATCTCGATAATTGTTTCACATTGTTTAAGTGTACTCGACCTTGTCAATTTAGATTAATATAAATACCTTTACTTTTGATACACCAAATCTGAACGAAAACAATGTTGATAAATGTTGAGTGGAGTTAATTAATTGATAAACCACAATGCTAATTTATTAATGCTAACACATATTAATAATAGTATTTTGTGAACAAATAAAATATATCCTAATATAGATAAGAGGCAATCATTTAGAGCCAAATTTTTAGTATAAAAGGATCGATCACAAAATCAATATTTAACAAAAATAATTAACTGTTTTATATTATAAATCTTAATTAATATAAACATTTAATACAATTATGAGACAATTAGTGTCGATATTATTGTTAGCCGTATTGTCGGCTATAGTGAGCGCCGATTTCCCGGTCAATGACTACAAACTGGTGACCAAATCGCGTGACTTTACGGGCAAAGTAGTAGTGGTGACGGGTTCGTCGTCGGGCATCGGTGAGGGTATTGTCCGTCTCTTTTCATTACTCGGCGCTAACGTTACGGTCAATGGACTTAAAGCCGAAGGCGTTCACAAAGTGGCCCTCGAGTGCCAACAGTTATCCCCTTATAAACTAAAGGTTTGTCTTTTACATTGTTTTTAAAAATATTTTATTATAATTATTATTTTGCGAAAAATATTTTATATTTAGAAATAATAGTTAATGTAGTGTAAATTGTTTATATGTAACATTTAATTTAATTACAACTAAAAACAAATAAAATAATTATAAATAATTTTACAGCCATTGGAAGTGACGGCAGATCTGACCAAAACGGCGGACATCAAACGTATGATCGACGAAGTTATCAAGACTTACGGCAAAATTGATGTATTGGTCAACAATGCGGGCATTCGGTCGACACCAACACTCATCACACAATCAAACCTAATGGCCGAATGGGACCGACTCTATGCCATAGACCTCAGGGCTGTGGTTGAGGTGACACACGAGGCGGTGCCGCACCTCTTGAAAGTAAACGGCACTATTATCAACACCTCAGCCATGGGTGGCAAAGCACCGGTTAGTATTGATTTATAACTATGATACCATTGATTTTATTGTATTTAGTGCAAATTTTAATATATAAAAATTATAACAGGGTAATTTCTTAGTTAGGACAACCATTGCTTTAATATTTATTGTATTATTGTTATTATAATAGATGATCACAAACCTGGCGTACGGACCCCTCAAAGCCGGTGTAGATATGCTGACCCGAGTGCTGGCCCTACAGTTGGGACCGTCCGGTGTGAGAGTTAACGCCGTTAAGTATGTGTTCAACTATAAAGTTAAACAATTTTATTGCAATGTTTTAAACATTAAAAATGTTGTTTGTGTTACTTATAGCCCCGGAGCCACACAAGTACAGGAAAAGTTGGATCCCCCGGATGTTTGGGAAAAGACCCGCACATTTACGC